AAGAAGGAGTGATTGGAGTAAAGATGGGATTTGCCTTCAAGAGAAGTATAACCAAACTCTGTGACACAAAAGTGATAACAAACCTAGGTGAAAATTTTCTCTAGCTATGTAGACGAGCATCTGTCACTGCCAATGTTTGACTTAGATGCTGTAGATATAAAGTTATGGAAAAAGTTTAGAAGCAAGGAGCTCCATCACACAATGGCTTTTGCCCATTACTGTATCATTTACTTGAGCAGTGTCCTGCATCTGGGGGTAAATGAGAATAGAATATGGCCTACAGACAGATCAAGGTGAAGAAGATGATGGGCAGAATTCTTTGTTGTTTTCTTCGATTTATATATTAAGAGGTGAATTTTACTTTTTAAGCACTGGCTGTTACTGGAAGCCACACAGAACTAGGATACTCAGCCTTCTCCCCCAGCCTTGCAGGGATGCAGCACATCTACTACACCTGGCCAGTTCCTGAATAGGAGGAAAAGGGCATGGCTTTTTCCCCTGTGTCAGTCTCTCCCCATGGAAGATCACGAGGACCGTGCCCGCCCGCGTTCTGCCTGGTCCTGACCTGGGAAACAAGAACGTGTCCTCTCCTTTGCCTCTTTTTGCACACTAGAGCATCTGGATAGAACCTGCACACTACCTTAGTAGTCATCAGTGCGTTCATCTGTAGATTTTAATGAGTATCGTTGCAGTAGTTATTAAAAGAAAAGCATCTTGAGTCATTTACAGCATAAAAAGTCCCATCACTGATCATAAACAGCACCAAATAAAAGGAGTTTGTTCATTCATGATGTGGGGACTGCTGACGCAATTGGATCAAAGCCAATTGGTCGTGGTACGGGAGCTACTCCTCCAGGTAGTTTTATTATGGAGGACATTGCTATGATAGCCTGTGGTTACCTGTCAGACTTCAGCTTTGCCATGAGAAAAGGATATCTAGTCCAGCCTGCTGCTATCTTGCTGCCTCTGATTATCAGAGGTCACTGCCCCTACTGTTGACATAGTTGAACATGCAACTACTTTTTAATCTAATTTTGTTTGAACAGTAAGGTTTGCTTAAACAGGATCTTTGTTGACAGACAACTGGAATGGGTCAACATATATAGTTATTTACCTCTACAGTTATGTAGATTGGGGCAACCATTACCTCCCGGAGGCAGTGGTGGAAAAGAGTGCAGTAAATTACTTCCTTACCTTGAATAGTGCCTCCTACCCCACAGCAACTCCCTCTCTTGCTCTCTTTCTCTTTCCTAACCCTAAGTGGCATGTCAAACTGAGTCCTAGGTATCAAAATCGAATGCTTTCCACTACATGGATGCCCTTTGGGTACCTGAAGGTCAGATGAATGCAGTTAATAAATGGGAGCAAGTAGGAGTCCTTTCATGGACTCTCAAAGATAGAGCATTTAAAATTTAAATAGAAGTGAAGAAAAGTAGAATTATACTTTAAATGGCAAAAGACATTAAGATAGTTAATAACAACAACATAAATTATCGCCATTTTAACTTTCAAGACAGAACATCACCAAACACTTATTCTTCAGGGGTCAGCTATTTACCTAAAGAGATCAGGAAGAAATTTTGTTTCGTAAAGCGCTTTTCACTAGAGATGTTCTGAATTTACCTGGTTTACAACAGCTCTGGAGCAAGATTAGATATATAAATGAAGTTGATTACTATTTTGAGATACACAGACAACTTTTCCCTAGGTAATTCCCATGCTAATGCAACTTTCGAGCATGTGCCGTTCACACCTGCCACTATAATTAGGGCTAAGAAAGTTAAGGTTGGGCTTTTTCCAGGTTAAAGCAGCAGGGAGCTTGTGTACAGCTTTCCTACTATAATCAAGTAGGCTTAACTAGTGTGTTCAACCCTCATTTCCTTATGGACTACAAAGATGGGATTCAGTTTGAAATTAAGATACTTAAATTTAGGTATCTGCGTGTAAGTGCCTACAGACTTGCCAGAAGTTTGAGCTCCCAATGGATTTGATGAAAATCAAGGCCATGCAGTCAAATGAGATTGGGTAGCAGTTCAGCTCACCCTAGTTAGCTGAACTGATCCCTGGACTTCATTGACATGTGTGACAAGATGCAGGATTCAGTTAACAGGAGATGTACATCTATCACCACTTCAGAAACTCTGAGATATAAGAAAATGATATGTAGTTGGCAGATATGACACAGGACTTATGGGAGACCTTTTTGAAATGACAATCATATACCAGGGCATCTCAAGTGAAAACAGACATCTGTGTGGGATCCTCTTAATTAAACCTTAGGTCTTCGCTGGCTGCCTACATCGGTAGACGTCAGTACATATCTATTTCAATTTAAGTTTTCATCTCAGCCTAAAGCCTGTCTAATTGTCTTAGGTACTGCTATCTCTTGGTTTGTTCTGTGTGGCATGCAGTTTGCTTTCCTAAGTATCTTGAACGTGCTTTACGTAAAGGAAGAGGGTGCCTAGACGAAACATAGCGGACTTTGAGATCCAATTGGGCAAGATATTTTTGCCTTAAACTTTTTAAAACATGCTATTTTCTGAAGGTGAGATGGTATCCTTAATGAACAAAAATCTTAATTTTCACTGCATGTGTGATTCAAACAGAAACTAACCCACCACTGTGACTGTTAAGACCATTGACAAAGTGAAGACTTAATTAATAGATGTAAAAATCATAGTGCTGCTCTTCATTCATCAAGACACAAGGTACTTTATCAGCTTTTAGATCAGCTGTCATTAAAAAAAACAACAATCAAATTGTGGGTGTGGAAATAATCTGATGAAGTAGGCCACAAATTATTGGCAAAATCATTCAGAAAATTGTGGAATTCTGTTATGGATATAATGAGCATTTTTTAATTTTAAAATGTGCTTCTTAAAAAGTAGACACAAAAATAAATACATAGCCACTCTGTACTTAGATTATTTCTTTCTAAAATTCTGCTACATAATTCTCAAAATTAGTAACCATTTTCTGGGAAATATGGAAATTTCACCATGGAAGTAAGGGATTGTTTTTTGGAATTAAAGCAGTTACATAGAGTATGTCTGACTACATTCTAAGAAAAAACAGAACACCACAAGAAAAATATCACCTTGTGCCATTCAGTCCAGAGCACTTTTATGAAAATACGGAAGCACATCTTATAGTAGCATTAAAAGGGAGGAAACAATTTCCGCAGAACCAAAGCTGATCATGCTGGAGTTACACAAAGAGCATATTCAATTCCTATATTGAAATCAATTAATTTAGAGCCTGTGTAACCTAGAAAACTTAACAGATATTAAGATCTGAATTATAAAATGCTCAGTCATTTTTTAACCCACATTGTTTCCAAAAATCTGAATAAGTTTAAACAGTTAATGAAGAGATGCTTAGTCAATATCACTTCATAAATAATAAATCATAAAAAACCTTTCTAGTATAGATTATATAATTTTTTTATTTTATTAATAAAATTATTTATGATGGCTTAAAAGTTAACTGTGCAGATGAGCTCTTTGTGGTACAGTCATATAGAATAACAGAGAAATTCACCCAAAAAACACAAACAAAGGAACAGTTATAAATAAAGAACTTCAGTTCCTTAACAGATTTCAGGGGTTTTTCTAAAGCTGGGGTTCTCAGAGGGAACATGTGCATCCCTCCAAGTCATCTACCTCAGAAAAAACTGTATTCCAGGTCCTCAACAGAAACTAGAGAAAGATGAACTGTATTCTCTAAGAGCACAGTATTTTTTCTACCTATAGCTTGCATACAAATATAACTGAGTCCACTACTGAAGTGATAATAATCACTGCTGTGGATTAAAAACCTTTTTCTTTCTGTTAATATTTTAATACTCACGTTTAACTTAAAAGTGGTATTTTGCTCTAGTAGATCACCAAGTAAATACTAAATTAATTTAGAAAGATAAATTCAACCGATTTCTATGATTTCTTTAACAATGCAATAGCAGTTTCTGCTGGTTATGGCTAAAATTCATCCTTGTACAGAGGATCAGGGAAAGGCTTATGCATTACATTAGAGGGGTCTCTAATCTGCCATTTTTGAGGTTTCAAGTTGTATTTAAGTAATGCATAATGCTCATAATGGCTCTCCACAAATAGATGAGTTCCACTCTGAGACTGAATTCTTTCCACAACAAGATACCAATTTGCTTGCTTACAAACATTCACTGAGCTTAACAATAGTGTCTACACTGAGTTTTTGATATTCTGATACTAAATCTGTCGTGCTTTTAGATAGGTATATTTTCAGATCATTGCATCCTGTCCCCCAAAAGTAGGAACGTTTATTCAAAAGTGAGAATACCTAGAAAGTGACAGTATCCCTTCAGCTGAAAGGAGCATTTCAGGACAGAAGTTGAGCAAGACTTATTCCAGGTTCCTAATGGAACTAATATTTCCACATGCGTTATTATAAGAACCTTTCCGGTCAATAAGGGATCAATTCACTCCCATTCAGGGATAAGATGTGTTTTTATATCAATAGGTGACAGCTGGTTTGAACTCAGAAACTATTTGCACTTTCACAGACTGGTTAAGCTTCCTTGTTTTCAGTATGCAGATTTCCACCTTACGGTTCAGCTTCTTTAGCTGGAAAACTAGACAAGCAGTTGGTGTGACCCTTCTGTCTACCTCCTTGTCATGCGTGGCAGAGACCTCATCCTGTTGCCTACTCCAGAGGACTCACTTCAAGCTCATACAAAATTTTTTCCAGAACTGCACGGGCATTTCACTTTCTAGGAGCCCATAGCAGACGTAAGCAAACTCTCTCACAGAGGTAGATCGTGCTCGGGGCTCCAAACATAAAGCACGAGGTCTAAGCTAGGCTAAGGGGACAAGTACAAATGGAGCAGGCTTCCAGGAGGATCACAGTTTCTGACAGTTTAGCCGATGAGCAGTGTCCTGTTAAGCAGCTGTGACTCCACTGCAACTGAGCAGCTGCCCGTAACTCCTATAAACAGAAGCTAGTAAATTACGGCATTGTCTTACCCCCAACACTTGGCATCCTTGAAGTTTCCTGATGACTACTGGATTTGTTGCGGTTCTGATTTTTCCTTTTATTGTTGGCTGCCCGGACAGAACGGAAAAGCACTTCACTTGCCTTGAAGAATGCAACCATGAATGGTTGCTTTGACTGCGGCCCATGTCTTCCAACCAGGCCAGCAGATTTAACATTGATACTCCGACCTGTAAAGTAATGGAAACTGTAAGTTAAATTCATGAGGTGAGCTTCGGGTCCTCCTGAAGCCACAGTGGGAATTCTGCCACTGACTGAAGCCTGGCGAGGACCTTGCGCATAATCCTGAAGTAAAATTATCAGAGCTCCTAACCTGATGTTGTTGAACAGAACTTAGAAGGTAAAAAATTCAACCATTTGCAAAAGTTTCGACAGCCTTACAGGCAGTCTGCTGTTGCCTAAAATTGTGTCTCTGTATGCTACATATCTTACTCGATACATGGATTTTTTAGTTCAGTCTCATGTATACTTTTTCAGAACTGAAAAATAAATGAGCCCCTTTCAAGTGTGTAAGCTATTGAAAAGATAACGCAGCGCGGTTACCTAATCTTCGCATCACAAGAGTGTCAGATGTGCAATCTTATATCCCCAAAGCAAATCAGTAGCAGAGAAGTGTAGGTAATAAATATACTTCTGCTTTAAAAAATAAATATTGTACAGTGTTACTCCAACTCATGTTCATTCACTAGTAAAGGCATGAAGGCATTCAGTCGTTTGAGAGAAACCTATAACAGAGTTTGAAAAATGTACATTATTGACTCTGGTTCTGTTCCCAAGGGATGTGCATATTTCTTTAAAATATTTGTTCAGTCAGGCCTGTGTGGTAACTTCGCTATATTATAGAATCTAAACCTCGCTAAAAGAAAAGAAAGCAGAACAAGTCACCGAAACGGCATCAGTGACATTTCAGCAAATAAACCCGTGCTCTTAACAGAATTTATTTTGGCAGAATAAACGCTTTTGTGTGTATGTGTATTCTGCAGAGCCCTTCAACCGTCAGAAAATGAGACAGTGTCATGTGAAGCTGTGCAGCTGTGCTGGGTGGGGGACACAGAGGTCCTTCAACCGGGAAGGTACGGGCAGAGACACTGCATGCGCGCCGCGAGCGCCGCGCGGCATCGGGGCGCTCGGGGACTCTCCTGAACCAGACTGGAGAAGTTTGTTGTATGGACAACAAAGGAGCATCTGCCTCACAAATGTATGATACCGTTAACTCAGTCCCCCTAAAAAAGAGCTTGCAAATAATCTTAGGAGTAAACCTTATAGAAATGAGCATATAGGTTTCCTTTTCAAACACAAACTTACAGTGGCTGAATGCCAGAGTCTATATTTCTTAGAAAAACTCTATCACTGGCGTAAATGAAAGAGGCAGTTTGATTTGTGGTGAAAGTAGTTTCCATTCTACTTCCACTGTAACAAATGTATTAATTCAGCTCAGACTTCCTCCTTCTGGCAGCCCTTTCGCAGTAAAAAGAGAAATTAGAAGTTCCAGCCAAATACCATACCTTGAACTGACCCACTTCAATACATAAACACTTTTACAACATGTTTATTCAGGTGTAGCACTTTAAATTGGTTTAAGATGTTTCCAGTGACAGAGAGCCCAGCAAAGGCAGAGAAGAACTGAGAAAGTTAGCAGTTATGGAGCAAAGTAATTGGCAACATATTCTGCACAATTTTGATAATTACTTTTTTGACTGCAAGGGAAAAATATGTTTGTTGAAGCTTCTGATTTCATTTTAAATGGCTTTTTAATCCTGTGTTTCTTTAATTCTTCTTTTCATGCATTTATTTAAGTTTCTATTAAATAATTCAGTAACATTAATTTCTATATGTTCAAATTTCTGTAGCAAGTCAGATATGAAAAACTGTACAGACTATTCTCTATTCATTGCAACATGGACAAACTAACCTCTTACCACAAAGTTCCAAGTTTCCCCTCATTTCTAGAGGGAATATTTTTATTATTTTTCTTTATTTTTTGTTCCAATGACTTTCAGAATTTTAATTTTATCTGTAAAAGATTAATACCTTATTGGTGGACATTTTAAGAATACTATTAGATTTATATACTGAGGCTATAAAGATGTGTGCAGGTTCTCTGAATTTAAATCTAGGTTCTCTGAATTTACAATGGTGGATATTGTGTGCGAAGCAAAATATCCTTCAAACCAATGTGAACTCCCTTTAAAATAACTTTTAATATTATTAAGTTTCCTCTGGGTTTCCTTTAGACTTCAGCAATGAGATGACTATTAAGATTCCACAAGTTAAGGCTTACTTAGTTATTCAAAGTATAGAGATATACCATAAAAAAATTAAGCCTCTCACCCACAGTCTCTTTATACACAGAATCAGTTTGTGTGACTTTATTCCTTTATTTGCTTGATCTTTTCAGCTGCCAACATAAGTTTTCAGGAACTTGTTTTTCAATTTCTGAATAGTCTAAGCACTGAAGTCTGCTTCCAGTGAAGTCAACAGGAAAACTTTTATTGACTTCAGTGGGTTCATCATTAAACTTTTCTCTCTCGCAGTTTGTCATATACCTTAGATTAACTGTAACTTTCAGAAGACGAAGCAATCAAAATATACACTGCCCTTGAGACGCTATATTTCTTCTGAGGAGGATCTCTGAACTGTTTGGTTTGGAAATTCAAACCACATATGTTGTCTCCATTTTAGGTTGCTTCTGTGCAAAGGAAAGTTGGCGTTTACAGAACTTCTATTATCCTTTACAGAAAAAAAGGGGGGGAGGGGGGGCAGGTTTCCTTCGTACAAAGAACGCCAGGCTTTGCCCCTTGCAGAGCAGGAGGTACGGCAGGGTCCTGCCTCGGCAGCACGCCGGGCCTTCTGCCCCGGCTGCAGCTCCGGCTGCGCGCTACGGTCGTGTTGGGCAGTCCCCACCTCTGCCTGCACTGGGATTGCAGACTACCAAAAGCAGCGAACCCTTACCCTGACCTGGACTGGCCTTTGTAGCGGGAAGGGACCGTGGGCCAAAGTCTAACATTTTCAGTAAGCATTTCGAAAACCTTTCTCTTGGCTTCAGTGACAAGGGAAGAGTCAGGTCTCTCCAGCACACAGTTGTTTCGTACTGTGGTATTAAGGTAATATTTTCTAAAAGCAGCTGAGTGACTCAGGCTGACCTGCTTAACCGCACCATCCCTTTAGTGCTTCACCCACATGAAACGGGTAAAAACAAAACAGCAAAGTGTAGCTCCCTGCCTCTCCTCAGCGTCTCCGGACAGGAGCTGAATGTGGTCAAGCATTCTGAATAATTTGTTTGTTTTTATATTTCTAGCACATCTTTAATCCTGAGGATTTCAAAGACCTTTCTTCAGACTGTAAACACACACAGTATCAATATATTGCTCTCGGCACTAAAGTATAGTGCAAAAAATTAGCAGTCAGCTAGCACCCGTTTTGCTGAACCTCGCCACTGTAATCGCCGCCACACCTAACAAAAACAAGTAAGCGTAACAGATGGACTTACTCTGTACAGTGAGAATCAAGACCCTTTGTATTCCTTGCATTCTGGCGTGCACTTCCCAACCCCACTCTGATAATCTATTGTCTCTTCTCCATATTGACAGGTATATTTGGAGACTAAAGCTTGTATAAGGCACTACGTTCCAAAACTGCTGAACTCCTTACTCCTTATTCATATGATTTTGAGTCTTTGGCGAGACGTATTTGTTTGACTTGGCATTTAAACTTATTTTTGGCTTTTATTCCATTTGATAGTAAACTGCCCTTAGCAGTTTGTACAAAACATTGTATGAAAGTGCTGGTTTGACTGACTGAACTCAATTACTCAATTACTGTCCTCTTACCTTCTGTCCCCTTATAGTTAAGGAAGGACTGCTTTGAAAATGACTATGCAGTTCTGCTCAAAAAAAGATACTACCTCAAGAGTCCTGAAGATTTCATTCTTCCTTTATGCTAACAGAGCACTCAGGAACGTAACTGTGGAGCTATTTGCTATGTCACTGCACCCTATTTTCTGCTGTCATATGCAGTCATATCATACAATTCGTTTCATGAATTGATCAAGTTCCATCTTAAAAGTTCATTTCTCCCCCAGCTGCTCGAACTGGAAATGCAAGAGCACTTCAAGCTTTGTATAACAACTTGTCTCACAATCCTGACCTGGAGAGATCACCTCATTTTTCATGACATTCAGAATCATGACTTTTGCTGAGATTGCCAGGGTGAATACCAACGACAGTGGTAAGATTTGCGACTTGGATCTTTCTCCCCAGGCAGTATATATTTTATGTAAGGCACTGAGCAGACACTAATTTTGCAAGAGCTTTCAACCACTATGCATCTTGGCCAAATGTACACTGGCAACGCAGGACAATTAATGATTCCAAGATCCATTATTTTGTCCTGAGTCATCGAACTGTAGCAAACCAGTCATTTTGTTATGAAAAATAAGTACTTATTTACTTTCAAAAGTGTTCAACAAGCCACAAAACACATTTTACAGATTAACCAGTACTTTTGGGTCACAGTAGTTATTGTGGTAATAATTTTATATATTTGCAGATAGAATTGAAAACTCTAGTGATGCTGAGAATTCATTTTTGGTTTGCTGAGAAAAACATTCTGATGCCACATCCATGGTTTCCTTCTTGTGGAGAATAATATCCGAAATGAGAATTGGGAAAAGCCTCTTGGAGAAGGACCCTGAGTGCGCAGGGTGCAATAACATCTAATCCTTGAGCAAAATTTCTCCTGAATCTCTGAGTCTGAAAGCTCACAAGGTATCTTCAAAATTAGACAGAAACTTGTGTTTTCTTATGCCTGAACAGTGCTCTTGAGAGCAATAAGACTTGACAGAAACAAAAGAATTGAGACAGAGCTTGCCTTCCAAAGATTAAATGAAAGTTTGTTTTAAAAAAAGGAAAACTAATGACAGAAATGTGATGGATCCGTCTATAAGGCATCCACAACACTCCAACCCCAAGAAATTTTCTACTATCTCTATTGTATAATTTACACAGACTCCTTTGCAAACCTCCTTTGGTGAACGTATCTATCTATATAGACATAACGTATAGCTTTTGAAACAAGCTTCATGTGTTTTGTTAACTCTTCTGCTCCCTAGAGGAGCAAAGGAATTCTGAAAATCGGGTGGTCTTGGACAGTCTATCTTACATTTCCTAGG